GATGTGAATCGTAGTGGAGGCCCTGACGCCCCCTTCACCCGCTCGGAATGGGAGGGCATGGAACGGGAGGTGCGTGAGTTGTTTAAGGACAACACCCACAGGATGGTGCTCCAAAAGGGGCGGCCAGTGCCCAGCCGGTGGGAGGGGAGGGCCCGGCTCTGGTTGCTCCAGGGGCCAATGGTGCTGTTGGTACTCCTGTTTCTGGCATCTGCTCTAACTTGCCGGCCTGCCATGTCTCACCTTTCACTTCTGGCATTGAGGATCTCCCACCTCCCCTTTCTCCCGGTGATGCGGTGGCCCGTGTGAGCAAGAAGAAGTCCATAGTCAAGAAGTTCTCCACGAAGAGCAGGGCGTCGTCGGGCTCCAAGCAGTCGGTCGCGGGGTTGTATCATCGGCTGGACAAGGACCTGCGCGCGGTGTCTGGTTCTGCTTCGGGTGCTGCTATGCCATGCCCACTCCTATTGCCCGCACCCCGTCAAACCTGTACCCGACCTCCATAGCTCGCAAGGGTCGTCGGGTCAAGGACAACGGTGAGCTGGTGGCTGCGTGCATAGAGTGGCGTGCAACGGCTAAGGATCTCCCTCGCACAGGTACCACCTCGCCACCCCGCCACCTAACCCTACTCCTCCTTCTCTAGTTCGGTTGGTTCTTCCTTCGTTTCTGGATGAGCACTTATTGCATGTTCTATCGAATGTTGGGGTTACTATTGACTCGGGGTTTGGGTCTCTATCTTCTATTATGGCTCTTGTTCGTGCTAATGAGGTTGTTCAAGCAGCCATTGCCAAGGCCAAAGAGGCTGCATCTGCGTGTGCTGATGTCCTTGCGGATGCGGGGGAATCAGTGGACGATCCTGGTAGGGGCCAGGGTCGTTCAGTTACTATCAAACGGGTCCCTTCCAAGCGTGCCAAATCCTGTGTTGTGCCGTGCAGGTCGAGCCTCCGCATTAAAAATCTATCTGCTAGATGAGAGCCTTGTCATGGAACACTAGAGGTTTCGATGCTAGGGGGCGTCGGGATCAGTTAAGGGATGTTGTTAGAGGTGACAATGTTAATATAGTTGGTTTGGTTGAAACCTTCAAAGAATCCTTCTCCACTAATGATCTCTCCGCGGTTGCGGGTATTGATAGATTTGACTAGAATTTTTTACCTTCTTCTGGTCATTCGGGTGGTATCCTCATTGGTACTAAGTGTGATGTGCTTGATTTTGTTTCTTTTGATCATGGTGTTTTCTGGGCTAGTTCAGTTGTTTATCACCGTCAACTTAATGCTCTCTGGGAAATTATAGTGGTCTATGGTCCCACTAACCATTCTCTTTCTGTGCTCTTTCTTGATGAGATCTCGAACAAGATCAAGTCCTGCACCCTCCCCATCCTGGTTGGTGGCGATTTTAATTTGTTACAGTCCCCTGCGGACAAAAGCAGTAGTAACTTCTCGTGGCCCCTTGCTGAGGCGTTTAATGGGTTCATCCAAGATTGTGCCCTCCGCGAACTCCCTCGGGTGGGAGCCCATTTCACCTGGACTAACCATCAGACTAATCTGGTTCATTCGGTCCTGGATTGTGTGTTTATCTGCTCGGGTTGGGACTCCCTGTTTCGTCGAGCAATGCTAAAGGGCAGAGTGATCATTGGGTCGGACCATTCCCCTCTTATTTTAGACGCGAGTCCTTTAGTTTCCTCTCGATTCTAGTTTGATGCTTCATGGTTCTTGGTCGATGGCTTCTGTGACCTGATTTCCGATAAGATTACCTCGTTGTTGCCGTCGGACAGACATTCCTTTGGGACCACGATGATTGGCACCACTGCTCTTATTCTCTCCAAAAATTCCTTCGCGGCTAGGCTCCTAACAGGGCGGCCGAGGCACATAGGGAAAAAACCGACTTGGTGGATCAAATCACTGCCTTGGACACGGTGGCTGATGGGCCAGACTTTCTGATTTGGAGTGGTAGACTAGGTATGGCCTGGAGGAGGCCTTGATGTAGTTGCATCGTCAGGCTGAGATTTATTGGCGTCAAAGGGGCACCTTGAATTGGACCCTTAAGGGCGATTCTCCTACCGCATACTTCTTTCCTATTCCCAGCGTCAGAAGGAGATGGTGCTTGATCGATAGCCTCCTGGCCAACGGTGTTAGAGTTTCGGATCAGGTCCTTATCCTTTCGCACGTAGTGGAGTTCTTTTCTTCCCTTCTTTCTTCCAAGACCGCGTCTGGCTTCTGGATCTCACCTTCTTTGTGGGATCAATCTGGGAGGATCACTAGAGATGAGAACGATTCACTCCTTATCCCTTTATCCGAGGAGATTTTTTAGGTCATGCGTTCTGCCAACTCTAATTCGGCTTTGGGCCCGGACGGCTTCTCCATTCCCCTTTTCAGGAATTTTTGGCCTAAGCTGCGCTCCCTGGTTTGCAATGTTATACAGGGTTTCTGTTTGGGGATAGTGGTTATCTCGCGGTTGAGTTATGCTATGATTTCTCTTATCCCTAAAGTCAAGGGGGCTGGCCTTATATCGCAATTTAGACCTATCGTAGTCATTAGCAACTTTGCGAAGTTCCCTGCTAAGGGCTTTGCAACTCGCCTATCTCTTATCGCTCACATGGCTCTTAGCCCTTCCCAATCAGCTTTTGTCTAAGGGAGGTTCATCTTGGATGGTATCTTATGCCTGCATGAAATTGTTCATGACCTTAGGGTGCGTAATGCTAAGGTTGGTATTCTAAAACTTGATTTTGAAAAAGCATATGACTCGATGAGCTAGGCTTTCCTATGTTAGGTCCTGCTAGCCAAGGGCTTTGATGGTGCTTACGTGCATAGGATCAAACAGCTGGTTTCTGGTGGCCACACTGAGATCTCGGTTAACGGCCAGGTTAGCAAATTCTTCGCCAATGGTAGGGGGCTGAGGCAAGGGGATCCGGTTTCCCCTCTCTTGTTCAATTTTCTTGCAGATGCCTTATCTCGTATCTTATCTAGGGCGGCCTCGGCCGGACACATTTCCCATGTCATCTGCCACCTTATCCCCAAGGGTGTTACTCATCTCCAATACACGGACGACACAATCATTATGGTTGGGCTGAACGATGCTTGCCTTGTTCATCTTAAGTTCCTTTTGCTCTGTTTTGAAGCATCATCTGGGCTCAAGATCAACTTTTCCAAGAGTGATGTTATTGTTTCTGGTGTGTCGGAGGCGAAGGCCTTGTGGGTCTCCCAGCTTCTGAATTTCTCCTTGCGCTCGTTTCCCTTCAAATATTTGGTCCTTCCTATTTCTCCGGCTAAATTGTGTGCTAAGGACTTCGCCCCTGTAGTTTCCAAGGTGGGAAATAGGGTCATGCCTTGAAGGGGCAGATATAACACTAATGCTGGAAAGGTGTGTCTCATTAACGCTTGCTTGTCTTCCCTTCCGATGTTTATCATGGGTTTTTATCTCCTCCCGGGCGCTATCCATGGAGGGTTTGATAAGCAGAGGGGTGCTTTTTATTGGAATGCAGCGGACAATGAATGCAAGCATAGGATGGTCAAATGGAAATCCATCTGTAGGCCCAAAAACCTTGCAGGGTTGGGCATTTTAAACACTGCGGTTATGAACAAATGTCTTATTATTAAATGGTGGTGCAAAATCATGATGATTGGGGTGGGTTCTTTGTGGTTCTCCATCCTTAAAGCTAAGTACTTCCCTAATTCTAGCCCTATGTCTGCCTCTTCCCTAGGCGGTTCCCAGTTTTGAAAAGATCTTGTCAAAGTCCAAGCTCTTTTTAAAGACTGTGTTAAATTTGTGGTTGGCAATGGCAAGTCTACTCATTTTTGGCTTGGCTGGTGGTGTGGAGAGACTACCCTTGCTGTGGCTTTTCCTACGCTTTTTTCTTACTGCTCGGACCCGGTGATCTCTATCTCTAAGCTCTCCGATAATTACTGGGACTTGGCTTTTCGATGCTCTTTGTCTCCTGAAGAGTTTGATGATTGACAGCGACTTGTTGCCTACATCCCCGTGCTCTCGGAGAGTGAGGACTCGGTTGTGTGTCCCACTCTGCGTCTGGTCGTTTTTTTGTTAAGTCTTTGTATGCTATGTTAATTTGTGGTACCCCCACTACTAAGTTTAGACCTATCTGGCGTGCTCGGATTCCTCCCAAGATTAAGATTTTCTTGTGGCAAGCCTTCAAGGGCCACCTGCCTGCGGCGGACCAAATTCGTAAATGTAATGGCCCGGGCTCAGACAGATGTGCGTTGTGCGGAGACTTGGAGGACACAAATCATATCATTTTCCACTGTGTCTTGGCCAAGTTGGTCTGGTGTTGTACCAAGTCGTGGCTTCGGGTCTCCTAGAACCCCTCCTCTTTCTCTGAGCTTAGAATTTTAGCTAATGGCCTAGCCGGGGTCACCAAATGTATGTTTTGGCTCGGATTGGCTGAGGTTTGTTGGGCCCTATCGACGGCTAGAAACAAATTTACTATCGAGCATATTTTTCCTGTCAAGCCTGTTGATTGCTTATTTAAAACTTGCCTGTTTCTGCAGTAGTGGAGATCATTGACTAAGTCTGACGACTGCGATGCTTTCGACCTCCTATGTGCCCAAATTCGGGCTACAACTTCTTCTATCTCGCAGCAAGAGCCAGGTGGCTAGTTGTCGAGGGAGGTCCCTTTTGGCTTATGAGGGTGGCCTGGTTCGGCTTCCTTCCTTCCTTCATAGTTTCGACCTGCGTGCCATCGTTTTGGCCTGGGTGCCATGTATCTCTGTTCTGTCTTAATCCTTATGGTTGTGGCCCATTATTTGTTTTGTTTGGTGTTGTTTGGTTGCGGCGAAACCTGCCTGAAGGCTTTATTTATAAAGTCGGGCTGATACCTTTTCTCTAAAAAATACATGCCCTTACTCCATCAGCCTAAACCACTTGAATGAATGGAAACAATGACGAATTTACATGCCTTTTAGGATTCCCATTAACATTTGGAAGAACGGGACAAAGAGAGCATCCTCTTTTACTGGTTAGCTTAATAATCCACCCATAACTCTAAGCAAACTGAGCTAGTACATGCTGGCAATCTGTGGGCTACAGAAGACCAGCACCTCGTCGAGTTCGACCTTGGACTCGTCGCCGAACAGGCTCTCCTTGCCGTCCTCCCTCTTCGCGTAGGACAGCCCGAGCCGTGACCGCGCGCGCCGGAGGTCGCCGACGCCGACGCTGGCGTCGGGCCCCGTGAACACCCCCATCACGGCGGTGAGCGGCGGGCCGATGAGCAGCCCGTCGGCGCCGAACTGCGGCCCGCCCCGCGAGTAGTCGAACAGCGCAGCGCCGCTCCCGCCCACCTTGGGCAGCACCACCGGAACGGCAGCGGCGGTGTCCTCCGGCGCTGCCGGCGGCCAGTAGAAGAGGAAGGCGTCGAGCGTGTCGTAGTAGTCGTCCGTGCTGCGGTACCCCTCCGGGCTGAACCCGCCGAACCTGAAGGAGCCCCCCGCCGTGTAGCCGACGACGACGCAGGGGCCCTTGAAGTCGCACCGCCGGTGGAAGTCCGTCGCGCTGAAGCCGTCAACGGTGGCCCTGTAACAGCAGCTGAGCTCGCGTCCTCTGAGGTGCGTGTTGGCCACGAGCGACATGGGGAACGGCGGCTCCACGCCGTGGTACTGGAACTGCGGCGGCGGCGTCTCGGCTTCTTTTGCGCCTCTGCCCCAGTTGAAGAGGCTGCGGGGAGTGACGAACCTTGCTCTGGTCTGAGCGATCGCCACCCTGCCGCTCGCCATGAACGCCATGCCACTGATCGCTCACTCGAGCGATGGTGGGAATGAATGGAGGAGAATGAGCCGAAGATCGAACTACTCGACACAGGTGAATTTTCGTGGGCACAGGCTCGCCTTATCTCTTGTGTGGCTTTGACAACGAAAGTACGATCCCAAGGGCATCTCCAACGCGGACCTGCCAATGAAAGTATGCCTTAGATTTATGGACGAATACCTTCTTATGTCTGAACACAGAGCCGTTTGGTTGCTGCCCGTGGTGGCCCTGCCAACCATCGGCACGCCAAAAAATTGGCGGACAATTCAGCCGCCACGGTTTCGTCAACATTTTGGCTACAGAATCAACGGGGAGAGCAGATGAGTTGGGGGCGAGCCAAATATTTGGAGCTGATCCAAATGTGCGCTAACACGTTGGTCAAGGCCAAAAATTTGGCTGGGCAACCCTTGGCTCTGATCCAAACAGCCCCCGCTTCCCTCAAAGCCATGGTCAAATTTTCTACTGCGGTGGTTAAGGTGTTTGTATCAGAATACTTGAGAGAATCAAATACAGAATACACAACATAGCTAATGGCACCGTCGCAAGCTAGAGGTGGTTGATACGTCTCCAACGTATCTATAACTTTTTATTATATTATACATTTATATATATTTATATATTATTTTTGGACTAATTTATTAATTTAGTGCCCAACGTCACTTCTTTTTTGTTTGTTTATGGTTTCGTAGAAATTCATATCTAGAAAGGTCCAAATACGATGTCGATTTTTGACAATTTTTGCTAGAAAATGAAGGACCCTAGAAGCTTTGAGAGAGGTCGAGGGGACCCACGAGGCAGCCACATGGCCACGTGG